CTGATGAGATCCAAAAAGATCGAAATCGCGATCCGCGTCTGGCAGTTTCGACAGAATACAGACCACTTCGAATTATTTTGTTCGATTATGGTAACGTGCCTATCACGTTGAGGTGAGCTACGCCGGGATTCGTTTCAACAAGTAGATATCCATATTTTTAAATGGACCTTGTTGGAGCATATGTAATCCTCAAATGTAGCATCGTACTACAGATGGCGCACACCACGCCATTTGTAGTATTTTCTTCTTATGTTGTGTTGATAAATTAACCAACGCAGCTATCTGTTAGAATCCTAAGGAACTTAAAAATAATTTGAAACTATTTTCCTATATCCTATATAATACATATAATAAAGATTGATTGTCTATTTTGTCTAATGCAAAGCTAAGGCACTACAATACTGTTATTAAGCCAGAGGGCCTCTACGCCTCAGAATGCCTTGCACTAAACATGGCCAAACAGTTAGACAAAGTGAAAAAAAAAAATTATCCGGAAAATCCTGGGACCAAGGTACGAAGATAGAAAATGGAAACAGAAGCAACAAAGAGATCAATGCAAAACCAGAACGAATAACAGACACAATGAGGGGGAGTAGAGTGACGTTCTACGGACACATTAAGAGAATGGGTGAAGAAAGACTGACGAAGAGAATATTCAACTATTTCGACAGAAATACCAAGATACAGGTGGCATGGATCAAGGAGGTCAGAAGAGACATGGAAGAAATGAAAATTGTTGAAGAGGATGTGGAGGTTTTCAAGAAAAGCCAAAAAAGAAGACTGGAGCTAAGTGGACGGAAGAAAGTAAGAAACAACATGCAGAAAGAGTAATTACTGAAAGAGAAGAAAGAAGGGAGAGGAACAATCACAAGTTATTTATTTCACGTGGTTCATAGTCGGTCAAAATCGAAAGAAGAAGAAGAAAGATTGATTTTATGTTAGATTCCTGACCGTTAACTATTAAATTATTATTATATTATGAAAATTGATGTCAAAAAATATCCTTCCTATCTTTTAAGTAAGAATGTGACGTCTAGAAAATCTGGTCTTCTTTGTCACTATGTATGTCGGGTTGCCTACAAGTGCCATTGTATGTTGAGTTGCCTATGGTTACATACATGTTTCAATACTAATAGAATTTGTAAATAATTATAAACTGCTGTTCTATAATAAACATTGAGGTCAAAAACTACCCTTTCTTTTAAGTTGGACCAAGTTAAACACTGCTAAGCAAATTTCATACTAATTGGTTAAGTAGTTTCGGAGTTCATCCCGGACAAACATTGTGGCACTAGATTTTTATATACCTATATAGATATAGATATAGATTATTGGATAACATACCCGACTAAACAGTGAGCTGCGGTAACTAACCAAAGTCTTGAAAGGATTGACGCATTACAGTCTGAAATATCAGTATAATCCTGATTCATTTGTACAATATAAGGGATTTCCCTAATTGTTGCATTGCTTCCTCCTGAAATTCTGACAGATTCCAATCCAGGTTGATGGTAGGGGAAAGCTATAAAGAATATTATTTATATTTAACACCAAACAGTACAGTACTAAATAATTATTCACTGAATACGGAAAATAAAAGTTTACCTGAAGTAAAAGACGCAAAGGCCACACAAATTATCACGCCTAGCATTTTGCTTGATAAATGTATAAGTTCTGAAATAGCAGTCGGTCTTATAAAGGTATTTCTTATCTGATTTTGAGTATTTCTTTATTAAATTAAATTTTTGACTTGATTTTATTATCAATTTATTTGTAAACCTATCCAAAGTGTACCAGAAAATTCTCTTGATAATCTTGCTATGTAAAATACCCGTGCTACCTAAGCGGACAGTTAAATTAGTCGTCATTTAATTTTAAGCATGTCAATTATCGGTAAAAAAGGTACTTATAAGGTAAATATCTAAACATCGGTCTGTAGATGTTCTTTTTTTGTATACAATAACGAAGATTTTATTTGAAATAAAACAATAATTAAACAGTTACTAAATTAGGTTTGGCTAATTACTATTTGGAATTTCAGAAAAAAAAATAAATGAGTTATGTATAAGATTTAAATGGCGGTCTTACCAAAATGTCTAGTGATAAGAGTGCTACAAAAAATTGCGCGTGTCATCATCCTAAGCATACACTCAAATTTGTATAGTTCCTGATAAATGTAGGTAAATTTTATGTAATTTTCCCATTTTTTATTTAATTGTGAGCATAGCAGGTAATATTTGTAATTTAAAACCTAGACATCGGTCTGTGGATGTTCTTTTTTTTGTATATAGATAAGTATAATTTAAATAAATTTGTTTTTGTTCAAGAAAAGGAAATTGATAGAAAAGAAAGAATGTTGTGTTGCTCTGAAAAAACAAACTGCAAAAAACAATGGTGCGTAAAGCCAGGGAGCCGGGTTCAATTCCCGGCAGTAACAATTCTTCCTCATTGATTTGAGGTTATCTGTAGTAAAAGTTTTATTATTTTTCATTATGTGCGCTGCTTACCTGAAAAACAAAGAACCGACAATTCAAAATGTTTCTTTATTTTATTTTTTTTTATCGGATTCGACATTACATTTGACTTTTCCATTAACATCGGTTTTTTCTCTTTTTCTACTTTATGTTCATGAACACGATAAAATACTTTTCTTTAAACAAGTAAGAAACGTTTCTTTATAGAATGTGTTTTTTTATAGTTGATAAAAAAATAGTCTTTACTTTTTTGTCCAGACATATTACACTGTAGTTGAATGCATCCAGAAACCCGATATGATTTCGGTTTAAATTTTAATTTTGTGATATTAAAGCACATACAGTCACAATCTTTAGAAACTTACTCATCGAAGCGGTAATGAATACAAATGCCAGTAAATATATATTATATTTCCTTTTTGTCTAATAAAGTGACTAAAATAAGTAGACATATATCTTAGAAAGGAACTTTGCAGGGTTTAGTTGTATTCAATATTCCATATGTACCTACCATGTAGAATATTATTTGTGCGATAGAACCCATCCTAGAATTTACCCTGGGAACGATATCATTTAGTAAATGAATAGCTTATTATTAATGGGAATACAGAATAGTTAGCAAAAATTAATAGGTATGCCCAAAACGAAAGTGGTACTAAAAACTATAAAAATGATAATGTTTTCAGGTCTCTATTTGTAGGACGAAAAGAATACGATGGGTCACTAAGTCAGTCTGGTTCAGATTTGGAATAATTTTTAACTCATTTTTTATTTTGGTTACCTTTTTTTAAATATGCGAATTTTCTCTGTCAGTCATTTAATCAAATGTGGAATAAATTGTTGATGAGATAAATGCATTAATATCTAACACAGGAAAAATTATTTTAATGACATGCTCATGTAAAATAGGATTGTGAAAGAAATATAAATAATATTTGGGATTTTCTACAGTTTTCCCAACAATTAAGGAAATTCTTTATATTGTACAAATAAACGAAGATGCTATAAAACTTCTTTACTAAAACGCTGCAACAAATAAAAAACGAC